CCAGCTGGGCCAGAGAGCATGGTATTGGTGCTTCACACACCTAGAATGACTCTTCACAGTTCAAAAAGTTTTAACAGGAAACGTGTAGACTGGACAAAAAATAATTATCTGATCTTACATAAAATCAAATTCTGTCGTATGTGCAAACGCACAACACTAAACCCAAACTACTTCTCTGAAAGTATCATCATGTATGATTAGAGCTCAATACCCAGTCCACGGGAATACTTCTAAAGCCCCCAGAAAGGCTCTCTTCCCTGGACTCACACGTTGGTTCCTAAGACACAAATCTTCAGATATTGTACATATTGGTTGTTAGAGATTTGAGACTTGAGCTTTTTCTTTTTCTTACAAAGAAACTGAATATCAACTCTAATTCTCCTTGTCTTTTTCTGGGGATTTTAACTACTAATGCACACCTATTATAAATCATCACACATACAACAAAAGTGATAATTCTCTTTCTATGCAAAACGTTAGCCCAGGAAGTACACGCTGGAAAACAACTTGATCTTCAATGTTAAAAATCATTAGAATGTGGGGTTATTTATACTTACAGCACTCTCAGCTTTTCTGAAATACACCAAAAAAAAAAAAAATGTTATCTCCCAGATAGTTTTCTTTCCTGGTTATATTTCCAGCCTGACTCCTAGTTAATGAAGAAGCTGAAAAAGACTTTGTGGGCATACAAGCAGATTTCCAGATTAAAACAGCAAATTAAACCAAATAGTAGCAGGTGTAGCCTTTTTTTTTATGAATGAGGAATCACTATACGAGTTTCAGAGCCTGGAATTCTGCTGGGCATCAAGATTCATGATGTGACATCCAGAATGCTCACAGAAAACTCCCCAAGTTGCATTCTGCATCCCATTCCCATGGTAGTCAGAATCCTATATTTCTAATATTTACACATACTGAGAAACTTAGCAATCACATATCTCAATAAAGATAAAGGCCCACCTGGAGAGTCTGACTGACACGATTCACTATAAACAGAATTGCTTCTTCTAGGTCTTGGAGGCTTGGATAAAACATCATTGTCTTTTCATGAAGAATCAATTCCATCTTAAATAAAGGTAGACAACTTCTGTCTTCAGGATCAAAAAGTTTCACAAAAGCTTCAACCGTTCTTCTCAATAATTCTTTCAGCTAGGTAACAACAAATACCACCTATTAGTTGAAAGAACAGAAAGCCCCATTCCACTTCACATTCCTTCAGTAAGCCAGGATTTCCATTCATTTCAGTGCTTTTGGCCTAATTCATGGGTAACTGAAGCAGTGTGAATTTTTCTAATTACTTCAGTGGATATTAGTCCCACTCCTTAAGAATGTGAACTAATGAACAGATAAACTAATACTTCAGTAAAGCACATGCATTTATTTTTGCTATAGAATTAAGTCTACTACTAGCACATGCTTTAAGTATAAAGCAAGTATCTGGAATGCATTTTCCTCTAACTTTTTTTTTTTAGATATGGCAATGATTTGATGAGACTATTGTTCCATTATTTTTCTACAAAGTAAATAAATAAATGCTAGAAACAACTGCCACCTTGAACTGCTGAACATATAAAGTCCCACTGATTATTACATTCTTAAACAGAACAATGTAAGTAACATGCTTTAAGTGAAAATTAAAGGATTTTTAGTTTTCAGTAAACTAAGAACTTTGAAAACCAAATGTCTCAGTCTGAAATCAGTGATATTTCAATGTTCTTGTTTTATTATTATGAAATAAAACAACTGGAAATCCCTTAAACAGAAAGAACTGAGAAACAGTTCATATAGCTTCCATCTGGATGTAAACAATCAGCAAGAAAAAAAATTAACTTGCAAAGGATTGTGGTAGACTTTTTAACAGAAAAAAAAAACGTGTTTGGACATTTTGCAGAACTACAGCCACTTGCTTGGCAGAGCTGGACTTGCAGTCTGCTTGTGTATGCAGGTTTGCTTTCAGGAGAGAGAGAACAGGTTTTGTTCATTTTGCTAATATATGACATGTAATTGGTGTGCCAAGATTGCTGGTAGGGAGGGTCCTGAGAACATCAAGACATTTCCTAACTTCAGCTAATTACATTAATGTTCAGTTAAAAATATTTAACACTTTGACTACTTTACTGGATTATATGCAACAGCTGGCTAACAATGATTAATTAAACAGGCTCTGTATCCTATAACGTGCTGACTCATTAACATTACCTAAATTTCACATTAAAGATTATCATGGTGAGGAAAGAGTTTTACCTGATTCGACATAAGTACAGCCACACAGTTATAAAAAGAGTCAGTCTTATCCAGCTTCACACCATTCAAGGCCTTCTTCTGACAAAAGAGCCTGATGACTCTTTGATACCACCCATTTAGTATCTTCTCTTCAGCTTTAGAACAGCTTAGAGAGACATCAGTCTTTAAAGATTCACAGTCAACAGGTCTTTTCAATCTAGATAAGAACGTTACAGGCAACTTTACAAACAAATAAACAAAACCAAAACCCCTTGGAGTAAAGTAACAGTAATCTGTATTACAAACCCATTATTTTTAGCAGAAAGCACAATGGGAACCTAAGCATCACTTCTGTATACTTAAATGAGGAAAAAACTGTCCCCAAACCCATGAAACAAAGAACAGTTGGCAGAAAAAATGAGGAAAAATATATTGAAAATTAGCTTTCTAAAAACTATGAAACATTCCATGATTAAAAAAAAAAATTCAATTTATTAACATCATCAAGAAATCTGATCTGCAGGGTTGGCACAGAATTCCCTGCAGAGAGTAGTACTACTAGAAGTCAATTTTTCAAATACTTCTTCAACGGACTTCTGTGGGGAACACGGCACTAGAATTAAATAAACACTGATGAGACCTTTACAGAATCAAAGGCAAAACATATACCAAAAGGGCTGAAGCTACCAGCAATTTTTTTAAGCACCAATAAAACATTTATACATAAATGACACACTGAAGAAGTTGATTACATAAAACTCCCTATGACAAATACTAGAATTGAACAAACTCTTCTTTAACAGCCTCAAATACCTATATAGGTTAATATTTCACCAAAACAGGCTTCACCTGAAACTTGAGAAATCCACTATAAAAAAGGTAGAGAATGCATCATAGCCAAAAGCCAGCAGTGTTTGCATTGTGGGGTGGAGAATATGCAAGTTGGAAAGGATTTTCTTTTTTGCTTGGAGAAAAGTGTTATGCCATGGTCTAGAAAAATCCAGGCCTCTGGAAAAAAACAAAACAAAACAAAACAAAACAACAAACAAAACAAACAAAAGTTAAGAGCTCAAGCAATACTTGAATAAACATTCTTACCTATAGAAAAGTAGTATTAAAAAGCTTAGCCCCTACTATGAATAGTTATTTACATGCACACACATATCCCTTACATGCTGCAGTGGAAGCTATGAAGGTACTCTGATCAACCATGTGTTATACTTGAGTATTTTCAGATCACCTGCTTTTCCTGAAGCTCTTTCAGTGTAAACCTCTAACTTCATCAACTGCTAACAGGATGTCTCCTGTTCTAAGTATCTATCAATGTTTAGATGGCAGAGATTCTGACGCTCCAGCAAATTGTGCAATTCAGATAATTATATTCTATCTACCTGAATTCCTATTCTATTCTAGCAGAGCTTAATAGCCTTCCTTCAATAAGGTTTCACCTCATGACACCAAAGCTGTATGACACCTTGGCACTAGATGCAGTTTTAGCATGTTGAAGCACTGTCCAATGCTGCTGTCTGCCAGTCAGCTGCCCCCTTCACACACACATCACTCAGAGGTGGCCGCCATACAGCTTCAGTGCCAGGGTGCTCAGAGACAGAAGTCCCTTTTGCAGTGAGTGCTGCTACTCTGTGTGGCTGTAACAACAGCAATAGAACACTGTCAGCACTAAAACTCCGTAAAGCACCCAGACACAAGACGTTCAAATGTATGATCCTCTACAGAGAGAAAAAAAGGCTCCTTAAGGGACTCCAGAATTGATGCTGTGCTGTAACTCTGCTCATGGAGCTCAGAGAGAATGCACTCATGTAAAGGAGTGTTTCGTCAGTGGGTTTGTTAACCTAATCCACTCACAGAGGTAATGAAGGCAAAGGTGCCTCCTCTTCATCTTCAAGTCCTTCTACATTTGGTTTAATAAGAACACTTCGCACTAGAGGAAAAAAAAACCAAAAGAACAGTAGAGGAAAATTCAGGCATATTCAACAGGTCAGCTCAGTCTTCCTCCAGGCTGAACCACACCCACAGTAGGATGTAAAGGTCACTGTATAATCCAGATCTTCAAAACACATTCTCCCAGAGGGAACCCAAAATCACAGCTTCTGCTAAATACCTACACAGATTCAGCTGGCTTCATTCCAATTCTGTCCCCTACTCACGAAGATTTTCAGGTAGACTAGTGCTTAAATTAAGTACTTTAAGTCATTTCTTCACAAGAAGATGGTGGGCACTGGAACAGGATCCCCAGGGAAGTAGTCACAGCACCAGTCCTCTCAGAGTTCAAGGAGCATCTGGATGATCCTCTTAGTCACATGGTTTAATTTCTGTTAGTCTTGCAAGGAGCATGGAGTTGGACTCAATGATCCTCATGAGCCCCTTCCAACTTGAAATACTCTATGAGTCTAAGCATTTATAACAATTTTGTTTAATATAATTATCTTCCACTGATAGTATCACAAAGAAGTTAGTCCCATGTTAAATTGTATATTTTTTAATCAGCATCTTTTAAAATTATGGGCCATCCACCAAAATCTTGACAAAATTTGGCTCAATTCCAGATTTCAGAAATTATCAATGTAAATTTAAAAAGACATTCATACATGACTTCAAGGGAATACACTTCCAAAATTCCAGTTGATGACTCTTAAAAAAATTTTAAAAATCAAAATGAGTTTATGAGTGATAGTTGAAAACAGTTTTCAGTGAAAATTATTTTCAGTGGGAGGAGATGGAACAGCTTAGAATACAGACATACACATTACATGTTAGTACAGATAATAGAGATGTTAGCACAGTGTAGTTTCTGGTACTTGCCCATAAATCTTCTCATACTTGTTTCATAATCCTTTATTATCTCCTCTAAAAGCTTTCCAACTACCAGCTGTCTAACTTTGCTTTCCATAAGTGACCGTGGCACCAACTTGAGCATGGACATCAGCCACTGCTGCTGAATGGGAACCACCGGATTACGTTCCACACACTTCTTCATAAAGAGATAGTTTGTCTGAAAGGACAATATTGTCAAAGGTCTAATAACTGGCTACGTATAGATTTTTGCGCTAGGCTTGACAATGAAGTAATATTTAATTCATCATTTCTTACACTTAAGGGCATGCAACATACTCTAACCTGTTCGGTATTCACTGACTAATGACTACATTAAGAACTACTCTGTGGCTGGCAAAATGGTCTCCCTGTCTCGATGTGTAAATGCAGAATATTGTACTTTTTAGTATAGTATTTCCTTGGTTCTCTACTGAAGGTAATGATGGACAATAAAACAGTTCAAGGTTCCTGTTACTGTTCTTTGGGCAAACATTTATCTGGTAAAAAGTATGCACAATTTTTTTTTTTTTTTTCCCCCCCCCCCCATAATAAATAGATATTTATGCTTTTGAGCAATGGCTTTGTTATAAAACAAAAAGGGACCTGAATCTCTACAGACTTCAGAATGGGTTTACCTACCATCAGCTAGGAAAAATAAATGTTCCCTTAAGCTGCTTAATATTTCAAAGCTACATTTGAGTTTCAAGTGTCTTTCAGATGAAGTCTTGTTTTAAAAGATACACACAAATTCCAGGACTTGTACATGCTCTTCAAATCAGGTGACCAATGTCAAAGACTACTTCTTGTAGAGGCCAAAGTGCGCTCCATGACCTCCACAGAAAAAAAACCCTGAAGCCCATTAGAATTTTCTAAGTGCTGATCTCTAACTAAGGTCAAATTTCTGTAATAGAAAAATACTTTCCTTCTATCAGACCACAAGAACAGATTCCTGTTTTGCCACTCAACAACACTACTGAAAAACACTTTCCTGTTTAACCACCAGGAACAGAACACACTCAACTCCTCCAAATAGAGACCATTTACTCTTCTCTAAAAACATCAGAAGAAAGAATTTAACTCACTCTTAGTTGTTTTTGCTCACTGTTCATCTGCATAAAAAGGAAGAGAAAATTGTAATGTATTACGAACATAAAACCAAAACAAAAAATCAGACATATAAATTTTAACCAATATTATTTCTAAATAAAGACTTTATTCAGAAGATATGGAGACATCAATTTCAATGGGACTACTTAAGTATACAAATATATTTCTATATTATTAAGAAGGGAGATAAGTATCTTTAAGCAACTATTAAGAAGTAAGAGGCATAAATGACCACATAACAAAAACCAAAACAAGCAACAGTTAAAATATTAAAGAAATACTTTCTCACAGTGGACGGCAGTTGTGGGATAGGAGGGACAGGATCTCTGTGACATTTTTCTTCCTTGGATGTGTGATAGGCTTTTAAAGCTCGATCAGTTCTAAAGTAAAACATGGAGTCAGAAGAGCAGAAAAACTATAAATACATTAAAAATAATGCTATAGTTTTAATTGATGCAACCTGTTTTTTCATGTTTACCAGCTGCTTGATCACTACACAGTAAGGCTGCTCTTGCATACTCTTGTCTTCTCTTACATGAAGACCCACATTTATCTTAGCACAGTCACAGTACACGCATGCCTTGATTCATCTCGTCCAACTGCTCAGTGCTCCTGTTACAATCACATCTTACTTCTCCTCAACTACAAAGCATCTTGTCCAGTTGTATTACAAAAAAAAAAAAAAAAAGAAAAAAGAAAAAAGTGCAGAACAAAACTCCTAAAGCTGATTAAGACCAGCTCTTTTTTACTGCCCATGGTTATAAACTGCCCATGGCAAATAAAAATCTCAAAAGACAATTTCATGTGACTTGACCCATCACCTTGGCAGCTGAGCTCCTCTAGCAGCGCCACAGATCACTAGGCTCAGCAGCAAGAATTAAGATAGTGATAAAGAAGCCTGTTGGACGTAGACCCACGTTCAGGTCATTCATACAAAACCAAGCAAGTAATCCAGACTTTGATTCTCTTTGAAACGTTTTTTTTTTTTTTTTTTCTAAAGAGAAAGGATTATTTTCAATCTATCATAAACAAGATTCAAACTGTGAAAGTCACTTCATCCCCCCAACTCACCCCAACAAACATAATTCATGCAAATTTTGGGTGCTGTAAAAGAAAAAAACATCAGAAATGCCATCAAATGCTCTTCTATCACCAACGGTTTTAGATGGAAAGTGTTCAGCACTTCAATGGTGACATCAAAAACCCCTAAAATTTACAAACACCCTTATTATTTCTTAGATGTCAAATGTACAATGTTTCTTCCGCTTCCATTTCAACATTTCTTGAATCCCATGAAACTCACAGTAACTGATTAAGCTTCTCCTGCTGTTTGTGGCATCTTCGGTGTGTCAGTAGTTCCTTCTGTAATGGTGACGTATCAGATGTGACCGATGAAGGCAAAACAGTGGGAGGAAAGAAGGTTCTTGAGGTCTTTTTATTGGAAGGTGCTCCATCTAAGTGTGACATCTAAAACTGTAACAAAACCAAGACTCTTAAATGCCATTAATCCTGTCTCAAATGCAGTTTAACAGATGTATGTATTAAGCTGAATGTACATAAGACGTCAAATGAGGTAACAGAAGGGATTTCTACAAAGTTTAGCTTTCAGAAAACAAAAAAATACTGCATATGCTAAAATGGCAAAGTTCAGCAGAAGGTGTGCTCATAAAAAGTCTGCAGTAGTAAAAACCAAAGGCACAGTTCTGTTAACTCAAGAGTGGCACATTGCATAGAACTAAAGTTCTATTACAAATCTCTTCAAGTGCTAATCTACCTGCTGTACACAGCACAGAAAGCAGCTGAAAAGCAGCTAATTAACCCTCCCGGCAGAGTGGCCCAGAATGGCCTGTTCTAGGCACAGCTCCTGTTCCGATCAGGCCTGAGACAGTGTCGCTGCTCCTGTGGCTTCAGTAGGTGACTATCCAGTGACTCCTTCCTTGTCTAGTCACTAACAAAAAGTTACTGCCTCATGAAGCCCACACGTGCTGGATAATGTGGGAGAAACTCAGACAAGGGTGACCTCTAAAGTTCTGCTGTGGTTTGAGGCTTGGAATGGGGGTGTGACCTTCCAGCACCTGGGAGGACCCCGGGTGGGGGTGAACCATTGTATTCCCTCCCCTTCCCACACACACTCTGATAAGAGGCAGGAAGTGGGTGCTAACTTCACTCCTGCCCTGCAGCTCAGAGGTGGAGGTTGTGCTTTCGCTCCGTGGGACCTTGGAACTATTTCTGAGGGTTTTGTATATTTTGCTTATTTTTTTGTATTTTCCCCTAATCTTTGTATATATTATTTTCCTTACCTCCCTTTTTTGTTTTCTGTTCCTTGTGAAACAATATACTTCATATTTTTTTTCAAAGTCTCTCTCTCTCTCTCTCTCTGGGAGGGGGGGGAAGGGGAGTACATAGTTCTGTTCCGTGTGGGTCCTGCCCTGAACCCCTTTTTACATGGAACCAGAACAAGTTCCAAGACAAAAAGATAATTCCCCAAAGCATCCTTCACGTTTGGTATTACTGTGAAGATAAAGCTGCAGCAAATTTTCAAATATGAGATCCTAGAATTCTACTGGTGAGAGGTAGTCTTTAAAGGAAATTAAACAAAATCATAAGGACATCAATGTAGACTTACAGCTTCACCACAATGTCAAACATAGGGGAGCAAAATTATGAGAATGTTAACACTAGTAAACACTATATCCCTGTTAAAGAAAGATAAAGTGCAGGAAATGTTTGTGAAAGCATTTATATAAAAGCAGAGTAGTCATTAAAAGTTCTCTTTCATCCATGGAAACAGTTAAGAAACTGTATGACCATTGTGTAAAAAACACTTTAAAATTAGAGGCTGCTCAGAAATAACTTTGTGACACTGAAAGTCTCATGGTGAGCTTAACAGGTTGCTTGAGAACTCTGTCTTGCATATCAACATACTTGCCACCAATTGACACCAGTGATAGTGTCTTACATACCTACCAAAGGCAAAGCGGGGCACAATTTCATTTAAGCTGCTTGCCTGGAAATGTTTATGAGCTACCAGAACAACTGGCTATGTGAAAACCAAGCAGGTGCTTGACACTACACTCTTTTAAGCTGCAGCAAGTCTGGGCCTTTCTAGGTAGCATTCTCTTACAGTATGCCAAGGTGTGCATTTTCAAGGCCAAATTCGGCAAAGACTAAACTGAGATTACTAAAATGAAAGAGGCAAGCAAAGTGTTAAAGTGGCTGAGGGGGATGTGGCTAAATCCTGGCTTATGGATGCAGATGCCAAATGGAAAAAAAAAAAAGTATTGTGATTTGGTGGGGTGGCTATGGGATTCAGGCTAAAGAGATGGGAGTTTTGGTAATGACCATAATAGTTGTGGGTAGCTGGGCTGTGCAACAGGAAAGCAGAGACAGATACGGGTTTGCAATAAGGAACTCAGCCTGAGGGCAGGACGAAGATGTGGAGCAGACACATAACCATGATTAAAGATACTTGACAGCCAAAGTTTGCTAATCACTTCATACAAGGACAGAGCAATAGATATTAAAAACAAATAAGCAAATAAAGAAAATAAAAAAAAAAACCATTGTATGACTGGGCTCAGGTTCACTAAAAGCCTGTCCTCCTCGTGGCTTGTATTGCTTGTGGCTGAGTATGGCTATCCCAAAAAACTGATCACAGGGTTTCCCCTGGAAACACGATGCACAAACTCACAACTGCACTTCAGAAGGTTCTCACAAGGGAGCACAAAGCCAGAGCTACCTCCTAAATTAGTCATAGATCCTAGAAATAATTAAAACGGATAACGGTGGAGATGGCACCAAAAGAAACAACACTCGGCTAAGAGAGGGGGGGCCGGTGGTA